AAATTCTGTGCGGCAGCAATGGTTATTCGTAATCAAATGTTTGGGTAGGTGATTTTAGATGGATATGTTTTTAATATAACACTGGCTGAGGTTTTACTTATATTAAGGACATATGATGTTATTAACTAGAAAGAAGGGGTTGTTTTATCATGTTTAATGGAATTTTATTACCCTGACTGATTTTATGAAACTATAGTATCTATTTTATATTGATTTGGTTTTACTAGTCTTTGACTGTAATAAAGTATTCATTCATTCATTCATTCATTCATTCATTCATTCATTCATTCATTCATTCATTCATTCATTCATTCATTCATTCATTCATTCACAGTTAAGGACAGTTTAGGCAGTTAGGGCCGTGGTTGTGCTAGAGAGAAGAGTAATAGAGAGATAGAGAAAGAGATAGGAATAGGACAAGTCTTGCAAAGTTTATGTGGTTAAGACTGGAACGAGTTAAAAGTGCTAAGAAATAAAGAGCTGAATATATAAATACCTTGATTAAAGTGAATCTACATAAACAAACATCAATGTAATCAAAGCAACGTTTAATGAATGAATAATAAAAGACCCTTCATGATTTTCTTTATATGATTTACCTACAAACCCATAAATAAACATTGTTATATTGGACAACACTGATCTAATAGTCACATTTGGTACAGAGAGGAACATATCCTCTGGTGGCAGCGAAAAAGGGTGAAAAGTACATGTCATGCCCGAAAGGGAACCTGGGTGTGTAGAAAAACAAACAGGGCAACTGGGGGTGTGTGACAGTCATGTTGGCCATTTTTTCCATGTTTATAGTGTCCATGTACCCTCATGCCCAAAACATTTTTAATTTTTTTCAAAAATTTGCCCACAAGAAGTGTTGCTAAGATAAAGACAATCAAAATTAAATTCAGGTTTCAGTTAATAAAAATGCATTGTAGCAACAACTATTGTACATAACCACTGCATTAATTAAACAAACAAACATGTACATTAACTTCTTTAGTCTTGCTCCATCAGGAGTATGGCCTTCACAGAGCCAAAATGGTCTCAAAAATGATCCATGGTTCCCTGGGATTATCCATCTTTGGTAAACCCAGATATAACACTCTACCTACCTGTATCATGGTAAAGTATTCACCAAGCAAGAAACAAAAATTCCAAGAGCACAGTTCTCTTGTAAACAACCCAGGACACCTATGTCAGTTGTAAATTATGGGTCCAAGGGAGATGGTCAAGGAATGAGGTGGAACTATATGGAAGTAGACACCAGCAAAAGCTTATACAGTATTTGATCAGAGATTCAAAGGGAAGCCCCACTGAAAAGGCTTGCTGTCCATATGCAAAACCTGCCAGCCCACCCAAAACTATACAATTTCTTTTTTTTTAAATGGTTCAGAAAGCCTCCTTGTCCCCTCTAGAGAAGGCATGGAAGGCAAGTCTGCCATGTTTTCAGTGAAGTACCACACTACCCTTAAACAAGAAAATAAAGGTTCTAGAGGCCATGAGGAGGCTTTTTCAGTATTTAAAATAGCCTTTTCCAAAAGAAGTATTTTAGGGTGGTGGAGCATTCATACTTCATATGAAGTATGAAAAATTATACTTTCACCCACATGTGACCCTATGGACCTATGAGTACTGTAAGGACAAATAGAAAGATGAGCATCTGAAGACAAAATCTGTGCCTTGCCTTCCTCTCCTGAACAGTTCAAAGAAGCAGCTGGCAGTCTTATGTTATTTTTTATCAGAAGATACTTCAAAGTGGATTAAGATAACACTTTCATGTTTCCTACATTTCAAAGTATTCTCTCTCGTGCATATTGGGCATTGGGAAGGAGTTCTCCTTTGTGCCTCAGAGGATGTAAATGCTGGCCTATGAGAAGGAAAGCAATGGAGGAAACTATCCATTGTCCTGATAACAAATAAAAGGAGATTATAATGGATGAAAGGTAATTACATTTTGGTGGCAGTACACCTCTCAAAATGGAGAAATCAGCAGCATTAGTTTCTTTGAGTTTCAGTATCCTCTTAAGGAGGAAACTTTGTCTCCTTGTGACTTGGTCTTTCTCATGAGTAGACCACATCCACAATATCCTACTCTGTTTAGGTGTGAGTACGGAATAGGTAATAGAATTTCTTGCTTTGTAGTACAAATGCAGGAACAGGTGGTACCTTTAATCAATCATTACGAATATAAAACAAAAACAAAATAAAAAAGCAAGCTTTTCAAGGCTGTGCATCAAGTTCTTGTGGACAGTTCCAAACTTATGTGCTGTTTTTAATGTTCCAAATTCACATGGCCAGGTAAATTTCTTAGATGGAAATAACTGCAGCATGCATGTTGGTTTCAAGCTCTTCTTCAGCTAGCAATGTGGAATGTATGGCCCATCTCTTAAAACAGAGAACAGTCACAGGCAATCTGCCCCCCCCGCCTTCTTCCTTTCTGCCTTTTTGAAAATCCATTCTATTGAGAAATCAATTTTAGTAACTATGTAGAACTTTTTGTAATTGTTTTATTACTTTATTCTTTTCTTATTTTAATCATTTCCAGTTGTGGGTGAGATTTTGAGCACAGAGCAACTGTGAGTACTGAATGCAGTGTCTTCTCTCGTTTCGCAACTGGATTCTTGGTAAATACAGTGGTGCCTCGCAAGACTATTTTAATTTGTTCCGCAAAAATCATCATCTTGTGAAGTTCCCCATGCATCGCTCTAAAAAATGTCTTGCGAAGCATCGGTCTAAAAAAACTCTTTGGAAGCATCACTCTAAAAAAAAAGTTTTGCGAAGCACGGTCATAGAAAAAACATCTTGCGAGGCACCATAGTGATCGCAAAAACCAATCGTCTTGTCGGTTTTTCATCCCGCAAGGCAATCGTCTAGCGAGGCACCACTGTAGGTTAGTGGCAATGTACCTTTTTGAGTTAAACTCCCTGGAGGAACTGCCAGGTTCTTCCGAAGCATCAGTCTAAAAAAAAAGTTTTGCGAAGCACGGTCATAGAAAAAACATCTTGCGAGGCACCATAGTGATCGCAAAAACCAATCGTCTTGTCGGTTTTTCATCCCGCAAGGCAATCGTCTAGCGAGGCACCACTGTAGGTTAGTGGCAATGTACCTTTTTGAGTTAAACTCCCTGGAGGAACTGCCAGGTTAGAGATGGCTAGAATGTTTGGAAATGCAAAAGCAGTTTCCATTAAGCCCGATAGACCCTTAACTCTTACCATTTCCTTGAGTCTCCCCATCTCAAGGCAAAGAAGGGCAGAATGACTATCCAGGAGCTGACCCAGTACGATGATACTGTAGGTGAGGCATAAGGTCCAAGAGTGGGTATATGAAGCCCTTGAATATCCAGAAATTGCCCACTTCTGCTCCACACACCTATTTTGGGGTCATTACTGAGCAAGCATGTTTTAGAACTACATTTTATAAGACTACGTGCCATAAATCAGTGTTAGATCTCCACCCACTTAAGATTAGGGGGGAGGCAAAACGTGGCATGCAGACAAAGATTATTCTGTTGTTTATCCTAGTATACATCTCATTACCGTATTTTTCGCTCCATAAGACGCACCTCTCCATAAGACACACCAAATTTTTAGGAGAAGAAAACAGGAAAAAAATAATCTGTTTTCTTCTCCTAAAAATTGGTGAGCCTTATGGAGAGGTC